GTAGTCTCTGGAATATCTTGACATTTTTTTCAGTTTTCCACCGATGACATGGACCACAGAAATAAAAAGGCCAACGGACAAGACATTGCTCATCTGGGTTTTAAGGGTTCTGATAATGGATTAGAGATAGGTTATACACATTTCAGTTACAGGAGGGAAAAAGAAAATGAACGTTGGAGTGGGAAATCAAAGATTCCTAAGGAATCAGAGCAGAGTCAGATGAGTGAACTATTCCCTTATAGATGGTCTTTATTTAAGCTGGTCTTGTTCCTTGAGAATGCACAAAGATTCATAAACGAGTCAGACTTTATAAAAGCCAGGCAAAAAGACTTCAAGATGATAATCCCCACTGCGTTTCTTAGTTGACGATGGCAACAACAACAACAGTGAAACAGCAAGAGTTACCAGGTGCACCAAGGCAACAATGCTAGAGTAAATTAGATCACCACCGGGGCTGGTAATGAATATAGCGATGTGTTTAAGTCCCTCTCCAAAAACATGGACTTGAACCTGAAATAAACTGACAAAGGCTTTCCTGAATTAATGGAGTGACACCATTTAAATTTATCCATATTACATGGTCCAAAAGAATGACCGCTTATGCTAAATGTAAAAAAAAAAAATGCATGGCAGGGCAGAGGGAAAACAGAAGGAAGCCCGAGGGTGTGGAAGACCCACTAAAAGACTGGGAATGGTGTTTTTACAGAGAGGTAAACTCAGAGTCCCCATCTGGAACTGTGAGGCAGAGATATTCATATTTATGGAAAGGCACAAGCTCAGGACCCCCAAACCCCCAGTTTGTTCCGACAATCTCTGGTGGGATAATGCAATTCACGTTTCCTTGGTCCAAAGGAGACGTGTTCAATTTAGGTAAGCACAAAACCCAGACAACCAAACTCACCGCCACTGAGTCCTGTAGTGACCCTACAGGAACGGGCAGAACTGCCTGTGTGCGAAAGCCTGGTCTTTCCCCCTGCAGGTAGCCCAGGCTCCAGAAATGCCAACTGCACAGTCCCTGGCCGCATTGCAGAGAAACGAATTAAAGCCTCACTCCTCTGTGCGTTAGGGAATGCACACGAAGAGAAAGCTCACCACCCCTTTGAGCAGAGCACTGTCTCATGGAACGCGAGGCGCCATCAGCTGGAGGGGTAGAAGAGGCAGCTAGCTAGGATTCCAGAGTTTTACACACCGTAGGCAGTTGGGAAGTCATGCAGCCTGGTGGATGGCTGGGAAGGTGAGCTGTCCTCCAAGAGTCACAGCCAGCGAGCGGCCCAGCTAGAGTTGTGGGCTCCAGATCCTTTGGGCCTAAAGGCCTCAAAGGGTGTGATAAGGCTGAAACAGGGAGCCACAGAGCGGAGGGCTGGAAGGGAGCAGCTTCAGTTAAGACACGATGTTCCTCAATTTCCTACTTTTAGCTGACAGATGCTCCCAGCTGGCTGGCGTGCAAGTCTAACGTGCCAAGCAGGCAGAAAAGATGGTTTTGCTTGCCAAAGCCAAAGCAAGTAGGAAGCTAGATGAGAGAGCTAAGCGATTTGGTGCATTTTCCTCATTGATTTTAAAAACCTCGCCTTCTTTGGGACAGAAAACGGGGCCCAGGACAAGGGGTGACAGAGCAGTTCGCTTTTCTCAGCCGTTTCATCTCTCTGAACAACGTCGGTGCAGGTGACGGAGGGGGGGATCTTGTTGCCTCAACAGGCCCCTGCCCACTCATCTTCTTGGAACACCCTCCCTCCTTATCAGTCAGCAGCAAGCCGGTATCCTTAGACCAGTGGTTCTCTCCACATGCATAGGCAGCATCCACATCACCTGGGAACCAGTTAGACACGCACATTCTTGGCCTCACCCCTCACCTACTGAGTCAAAAACGCTAGAGGTGGCCCAGCCAGCTGTGCTTTGGTACGTGTTCCAGGTGATTCTGGTGCACACTCAAATTGAGAACCACTGGATTAGACCCACCAGGTATACCCAGCGTACACAAGAGGAAGGAAGGATGAGAGGTATTCATGTTGTGGATGCGATAAGATGAAGATGCTAAAACTTGCCAGAGGAAAATGGCCATAGGGATACGGCAAGGTTCATAAGAACCCCATAATGGTGAGGAGGAAGGAGCCAATGTAAGAAACACATCACAGTCTCCACCCAGAGGAAGGAGCAGCTGTTTTTCTTATGCCATGTGTGGTAGTTACATAATCTGGTGTCAATTTGAGGCCTCAGAGTGAAGGAGTGGAGGCTAGCCTGTCAATCAGGTAGTAGCTTAATGATCTCATTTGGAGGTGCTAAGGAGATAAATAGCTCGATGGAGGTGGGACACACGCTCACTCCCTGCTAGACATCCCTGTTGAGAAGATGCATGGAGCTATGCTAGTGCCCTGAAGTGGATGAGCCATGTAGAGATCCCTGCCAATGCTGAGATGCTCACGCCGCCACTGGATCCACAAGACTGCCCACCCACTGGCCTATGATCTTTCTGCATTGGGTGTCATTGCACATGTTTCGTGAGTCTGAAAAGGACTTTATAGATTGGTATCGGACATACAGGGTAATATTGGACTCATGGACCTGATCTGGACTGGGCTGGGGTGTTTTCTCAATATTCAATTGCTCTTGCATATAAAGCTCTTTTTTTTTTAAAAAAAAGCTCTTTCTTATACACATATGAGTGTCTATGAATTTGTCTACCCAGACTAACACACCAGGACTTTACTTTTACCCAAGTCCCCGTCTGGAATTCCTTCACCTTTCTTGAGATACAGTTAGAATAGACAGTGGAGATGAGGGAGGAAAAGAGGTAAGACAGTGAGCCGAAGCAGATCCAATACCCGGCTCAGCTCAGAGAACTGCTCCACTGCTGAGGACCATGCAACATTGTTAGGCTCTTGCAAGGTCACTGCTTCCGTCACAGAAGAAGGAATAACCAAGTCCCGGAAGAAACACTACGGAGATGATCCCTTGAAGTGAGGATGGCTAGACTTCATCTCACCTTGTGTGGATATGTTAACAGGAGAAACTCCTGGGAGTCCCTGGAGAAGGACATCATGGTCAATAAAGTAGGTGGTCAGGGAAGAAGGGGGAGACCATCAGTGGCGTGCGACGGCTCAGACATCTGTGAGGATGGTGTGGACAAGGCTCGTGTACATGGGGTCACACTGAGTTGGCACTGACTCAACGGCACCTGACAACCAGAACAATGTCATCACCAGGGGATGGATGGTGGATGCGTCTTCATGAGGTACGAAGGACTGAGCAGTCTCTTACATACCAAGTAGCCTACTAGGTCATTTGCTTCTATTGCTTCTAGCCTTCGCAGCAACCCGGCAGCTTGTGTGCAGCAGAGGAGTGTAAGGAGGTCAGGCACGGGCTCGCTTTTGTGTTTCATAAGGGGCTCCAGGAAGATGCTCATTCTCAGAGCCTCAAAAGCGCACCTCAGGTGCAGACTAACGGATTTGAAAACTTCCATCTGTGCTACAAAGGAGAGCCTTCTCTCCTCTAGTAAAAGAGCTGACATTGCTGAGAACCAGGCCCAGAGTCTCATTATGCGAGTGGCTGAATTACAACGGCAGCTGAATTGCAGATCTAGAGCAGTGTCTGAAACCAAAGTAAGGGAAAAGTTGGGACCCTGAAACATGGGATGGGAACATATGGGCTGATGATCCAGAAGAGCCCTTAGACACAATTGACCCACCCCAGTCAACAGATCCACCCCTCCCAGCTGAAAGTATTAATTCACAATCCACACCTGAGCAGATTAGCCAAACTATTCAAGTTGATATGCTAGGTGGGGCTGCATCAGTAGCACTGCTTAAGGGAGATGCCTTACAAGATATTGCTGAGAGCACCCAGGAAACACCCTCACCACCCATTATTTCCGCTAGACCTTCCTGGCTGTTTTGCTGCCTGTGCTGGGATAGCCTAGCTCTCTCTCTACAGAGGACTACCAAACTGCCCTCAAGACTTGAAGGACTGCTTGTGTCTCACAACTCTCTCACGGGAGTGAGTTGCATTGAGCCATTTGTACTGCTTTATAATTTAACTTCATTTCTTGTATTATATATCTATCTGTTTATAATTTAACAGTTCATTACTTGTGTTATATATCTATCTGTTTATAATTTAACAGTTCATTTCTTGTGTTATATATATCTATCTTTATAAATGTATATATAAAATTATCAGCAATCTGGTTTTATCTCTCTAAAGAACCCTAACACACTCATCCAGCTCTGGCCCCCACTGATAAAATACCTCTACAGCATTTCTGCTGGGTCATTTCCCTCCTCCCAATGCACGATTACTTCCAGGGACGAGGTGCTGCTAGAATGCTCTTTTTTCACGGATGCCAAATCTCCCTCCGGGTAGAGGTCACACACTGTGGATTAAGGTCTTGGTTTTGTCCTATGGGACCCCACAGGACACATCAAATTCCTTTTCAAATGGCTACATCTTTGAAAACCTACACACAGCCCCAGGAACCATCACTCACTTCCTTGAGCCCCAAAGCCTGGGATCCGTTCACCAATCTTTATTTTCTGTTCTCAACAAGGGGCAGAAAGACTCTCATCTTAAAGCCTTGAACACCAGAATTCAAAAGCAAACAACTCTTTCTCATCGAAACTGGAATGTTCTTCCTAATTTCACTAAAGACTCGGTCAGCTGTTGTGTTTAGCAGCTACACACACAGATAGATCAATAATCCATTATTTCTCCACCGCGCCTGCTCTCCAGAGAGCAGAAAAGGTTAGAGTAATTGAATCTCAGGCTACAGGGGACTTCTCTGCTGATGTGTCTAAGCGTTCTCTGGAGGCTGAAATGAGCGCGTGTGTGCCAACAACATAGACACCTACTTAGAAAGGTCAGACAATTCCCCGACCGCGGCCTTGATTGCATTTGGGTAGCAAAAGGAACTTTAGAATCGCACAGAGACAACCCAAAGAAATCCTTGAACCTTGGCGCAATAGAGAGAGGAGCTTGCCAGCTTTGCACCCAGGATGGGGCACTCTTACCCTGCAGCACCCTGGTCTGGGACCTTGAGGAAATCCAGGCTCTCTGGTATCTGGGACACCCGGTCTGAGCCAGTAGACTGTTGCCGTGGCAAGGGTGGGCGGGCCATGGACGTGTACAGGCTTTTCTGATTGGATCTCTGGTTTCCAGGACCATGGGGATGTGGCACAAATTGGTTTTTGATGACTCCATTCTGATGGTATCCTAGAGACAGAAAAAGACAAGAAAGCAAAGGTTCAGTTTTCCAATCCGTGGCTAGAAGGCTCTTTGAAGTTCTTCCATAGTCTGATCATGTGATTCAGGGCATGCTACCCAACTTGGGCCTTAGTCCCAAGAGGCTTAGATTGTGAAAATTAGAGCAAATACATCATAAACTTTCAGCAAGTGCCTGGGACACAAGACACACTCCAAAGATGTTTGTTGCCTTTTGAGAACAGATGTACCAGGTGTTCAGGTTTCAAAGCCCACAGTCAAGGAAAGGTAAGTTTACAGCTAGTTGGCAGGCAAATTCACGAGTCTAAGAAAAATCATGAGGTTATGACTCAAAGGACTGGCAGGCAGCTGTTTAAACAATTGGACATCCGTTTCCAGGTTGGTCAGTCAGCCGGAGCCCATAGTAAGAGAACGCGCTTTGCACCGGCCAGGGATCCATCTGTACGGATCACCCATCTTAGCCAAGTGCTCCCTAGTGAAGATCACTTTAGCTACTAAGTAGTAGACTGACTGTGGTGATAGGTTCCCAGCCGTGGTCTTTGACAGAAAAGGACCTTATCAATCCAGGTGATGGATGAGCCGCCCCATCATATCTCCCACTGACGGCTCTCGACCAGCGAAGGAACATAAGACTCCCCAAGGCACACTCTGGTGGGCTCCACCATCAAGATCACTTTGCAACATATTAAGAGAAGAACTCTTTGGTACCAGAGGGATGACCCTTTGTTTGTCTGAGGAATAGGGGCCCATTTCTAGCTCTGGTAACTATGTTGACCTTGAGCAAGATATCTGATCTTTCAGAGTGCCAACTTCTTCACTAATGAAATGAGAGGAATGGCCCAGAATCCTGTAGTCACTTCCAACGTGGACATGCATTTTCTCTTTATCTCTAGTTCTAATGTAAAAGTAGATTTTTCCACCCCTTACCCAATTAATAGATTCTACTTAGAGCTACAGTTCTCTCGGGGCAGTGCATGGACCAGGTTCAGAAGCCTCTCTCTCATTTCCTCTCACAGGCCAGGCATGGACTTGTCAATTTGGGGCAAGCAACCTTCTTCTTACCCAGCTACTAGGCCCCTGGGGGTGAGGTTGGGTTGGGTCTCCCTAGAAGGGCAGTGGGACCATGCTTAGATAGAAGAGGTGGCACTTGTGAAAGACAGTGGCTAGAGAGGGCCACAGTAGAGCAGGACATCCGGACGATGGCATGCAGGGTGGGGTCCTCTCGCCTCGTTGGTGAGCCCAGCTCACCAGCTATGCTCAGAACCCAAGAAAGCCTGGTTCAAAACTTCCCCAGCATCTCCATAGACACAGTTTCAGGGTGGTTGAATCTAATAAGACAGCATTTGGGCTGGGTTTTTTTTTTTGGTATGCTTTAAAAATTCCTGTGATTTGATTTTAAGAAGATTTTAAATTAAATGAAAATTTCCTGTGATTTTAGTAGCCATCCATTTGATCACATTAATTCCACATATAAATGAGTTATCTAGGCATCCACTCACAGGTACCAAACGCACTCCAGCAGGCACGCGTGGATTGTTGAATGAACAACTGATGGGCTCTGTCAACTGTCACCTACTTCACGGTAAAATGTTTTCAAAATATGATTTGTGACAGATTTGAGAATAAAACCAACAACAAACAAACAAACAACCTGCCCCCCTATCCCTGTCTCCCCTCCCCACCCAGGCCCAATGTGGTCACCCCTGAAGGCTGGAGAAGTGCTGATCAAAGGGACTCTGGTCTAGCTGCTTCATTATTGGTGCACAGACAGACACTCAAGAGGAGCTCACGGCCAGGCAGGCACTTCATGACCAGATGCGGTCTGAGGCTACTCGGGCCAGCCTGGCCGAGGCAAAGAAGCTTCCCGCATGGTCCCGGCCAGCTAACCAGCCGTCTGTGCTGGGAGCTGACATCTCAATAGATAATTGAATACTTCTCTGCTTTTCTTAGTTTGCTTGGTGCTTATCTATAATTTCAAGGGCAAAGAAAGGTGGAGGAGAGACAGCTGAGCCACGGCAGACTGGAGTGCTCCTGAAGGGATGAGAATGAGCTCTCACCCCCAGTACCAGAGACAGCAGTGCAACCACAGCTGGGAAATTCCAGACGAGAGTCTGACGCCCTGGGGGAACTGCTGGGTCCAGTGTGGTCCCAAGATGACCCTTTCAGACACAGACTCCTCCACCTCAAACATTCAGGGAACCATTTTTTTTTTTAAATGAGTTGAATTCTGTGCGCAATTGGGGGTGGGGGCTGGAGAAGAAACGCTGTGAATTGTTTTAGTGCTCTCTGAACAAGAAGCATGCTTTTACAAGTGAAAGGTCTTTCATCCATTCACATTTGGATGTTATTGATCCAGGTGATATCTTCTGGTGTTTTTAAAATGCAAGAAATACAAAATCTGAAGCTTTGATACAAAACGCTGATAAAGAAAAGCTTTTGCACACGTTTTGCCAATCTCTCAGCTAGAATGAGTATTTTCTTTTGTTTCAGAGCAGGTCGCCCGGATCTCAGCCAAGACTGCAGCTCTTCTACTGGGATATTGAACTAGTTACACAGAAAGTGGTGGTATTGGTGGGAGGTGGGGGCCGTGGGCTTATGCCTGGCAAACGTCTATTTCCGGAAGGGCAGCATCCTACATCTTAAAGCTGACAACTTTCCAAGTGTCAAGAACAAGGAACCCTTGTCTGTTCCTGAGGCGGGACGTCTTTCCCAAGGGAGTAATATCACTGCGTAATGGACTCCAGATGGTTAATCCAGCTGTTTCTCAGCCTAACTCTTACTTTTTCCAAATTTGGGGGTCATAGAGAGGGCCGTGCATGGGTCGGAACACATCTGGCATGGAAATGGCCCTTGGCTGCTACATTGTGCACATGTATGTTATTGGTTTCTTCCTCAGCGTATTCGTGAGTGTTGGGTGCAGACAGGGCCCGCACTAGGACAGCGTGGCATGCTCAGCTCACCTGGGGGGGGAGGGGCAGCTCTCATGGGGTAGTTGGCATTTTGCATCCCACTGGAATAACCTCTGCTTTGGGTCGTGTTCTTTCTGGTAGGACCTAAAATAAACACACAAGACAAAGTTAAAATCAGCACGACTGGTTGACTTTAAAGTTCCTGATGGTCCTTTGGCGCGAGAAACCTTTGGAGACATTGGCTGAAGACTGGTTGCAGTGGAGAAGGGCTATTTGAGGGAAATACTGTCGTGGGAAGCTACTGGATGGGGGCAAGGGCGGAGGCGGGGAGGGCTGGAGCTGATGTTTCCAGAGAGACAGTTCTGAAATGTTTTGAGACAGCAGCTTTCCAGAGAGCTATTAATGATGTCTTCCAAAGGTGTTTCTATTCCTGGAGACTTTCAAAAGAGTCCGATGGACCATTTTAAGGGTTGCCTTCACGTTATGCATGATCCACGGAAGCTGAGCTGCCCATCTGTGTCCCTGGCCGAGTCAGTGCCAGCAGGGCAGGGCCCTGGGTAGCCAGCTGAGACGTAAGCAGAAAGGCAAGGTATCAGGCAGCTATTCCCAAATGAAGCCCCCAACTACCCCCCAGGGGTTAATTAAAGCAGTGAGGAGGGCGTGGAAGGATCTGCTGGATGGGAGAAAAGCTGAAGAACAGAGAAAGGTAGGACGTGATCAGCACGTTTAGCATGAAGTGTGGGAGCTAGCCTTGTTGGTGGGAGAGGATGCTGGGAGAACGGACCACAGGGGCCCAGGAACGTGGCTCAGCGAGGAATTCCCTCTCAGGACAAACAGCCAACACTCCCTCCCACAGGGATACAATAAAGCACTGGGGGAGATCTTGCTCCACCTTGGGACTTATATACACATCCACTCACAGCCGTTTGCCCTCAGGTCTGTTCTGCTTTCTGGCTAATGAGAGGCACTGGCAGGAGAGGGGTGCTGACAGGACAAAACGGGGGCATTTGTCAGGCCTGATCCCTCTCTGCTGGGCCTGGCTGTTGCTGCCTCTTCAACCTCCAGTTGTCCCTTCCGCTGTTCCCTCAGGCTTGGGGCCCACAAGGCTGCTTTTCGCCATTTCTTATCCCTGAAGAGTTTTCACCTTGCTCACATACATGTTACTTAAAAGTCTCCTAAATGCAGGTTCCTGCAAGGTCCATGCCTAGACTCACACCAACCAATGAAGGAACAGTAGCGCTGGTCTTTATTTGTAGGGTGTTAGGAGCCCGCGGGGTGCAGGGATTATGAGCCTGGCTGTTAATGGAAAGGTAAGCAGCCTGCACCCCGGTTGTTCCCCAGGAGAAGGATGGGGCAGTCGGCTTCGGTCAAGCCGTCCACTCGGGAAGCTCTACGAGGCAGTTTTGTCTTGTCCTAGAGGTTGCTCTGCATTAGAACGGCTCAACAGCAACAGGGCTCTGTCACAGTGCCTGTCACTGTGTGCCTTATGAAGACCAACCCGAAAAAGGCCTTGTTATCTATCGATGGCATCCTCCCCATGGACCACACACAGAGTATACAATTTTCACACGCCTCCACATGAGAGGAACATGCAGTCTAGAGCATTATAACGTACACTTTAAGTCAGGTTTTATCAAAACCCACCCCTGCCATCAAGTTGATGCTGACCATCATCTCTGGATAGGATTTCCACGGCAGTGAATCTCGCTAGGAGCACACAGCTTCCTCGTTCTGACCTGCGGTCAGGGGTCCACTGCTTCCTGATGGCATCGCCAGGGCTCCAATCTCATCAGGATCAGTTACGAACAGAATCAAAGTGGTGAGTTGGACCAAAGTGAAGGAGTTGGACCAGGATTTGGGTTAGTGCGGGTGGGCTCACTAGAAACCTGCCCAAGTAACGGTGGGGGATCCTAGATCTGCTTCACAATGACACAGTTCAGAAAACTCACTACCACTGAGTCAGCTCTGACTCAGCAACCCTAGAGGACAGCGTACAAGTGTCCCTTGTAAGTGTCCAAGACAGTAACTCTTTATGGGAGTAGAAAGTTCCATCTTTCTCCTGAGGAGTGGCTGGTGGTTTCAAACTGCTGACCTTGCAGTTAGCAGCCCTCTGAACCTGCAGAGAAGGCAAAGATGGCAAGTGTCTTTGGAGCTGGTAGGGAGGAGAATGTTCGTATTGTTGATGAGCTCCGACAAAAGGGCTGGGAAATGTGAGTTCCAACAAACGGTCGCTTATTTTAGACACAGTTGATCTTATAACGCTATGTATACAATCCGTAAGTACTCAATCATTCCAGAACGTTTACCCTACCACTCTTTCTGACCTTGCTTTTAGTTTGAGATGTTCCATTTTGCAGAAAACCCCAGCACAAGCAGCAGCCGGACCTCGCATGCGTTATCGACATTAGGGATGAAGTAAAGTGGGTAGCAGAGCAGGGGGAGGCAGGGCCGGGCGGGAGAGCCCAGAAGGCAGGGCACGAGAGCCCAGAAGGCAGGGCACTTACGGGAGTTCTTGGGCAGCCCGGGTCCGATGCTGACCTGCAGCACCTTGTTACTAGGCTTGAGGATGGCCAGGTCACCGAAGCCTTGGTGGAATTGCACTTGCCGGGAGCCGCCTGCACTCCAGGGACCCCAGTTCTCCTTCTTCAGCTTCAGTTCCAGCCTGGGACAAGCACAGTTGATGGGGTCAACAAGAGGGAATGGGCCAAGGAGAAAATGGTACCTGAGGGCCCCCAGATGGGAAAGCCCAGTGTGAAAGTGAGACCAGTCTGGAGACTCTGAACCAGGCACAGGGGCCAGAGGATGGCCGAGTATCCCAGGACTTGGACTGGCTACAAGTCTTGGGCAGAGATAGGTGCGGCCCAGCCCAGTGAGAAACCAGCACTTCAAAGGTGTCGATGCCACTCCATCGTGACACCCACCGAGGTGGCGTCTGCCAAGGGGACAGAAGGAAGAGGAGGTGTCCAGGGCACACCTACTGCCTTCATGTGGCCCTGGGTTTTCCCGGGGTCTGTGTCCGAGTGTGTGGAGGGCTAAGAGTCGGCTTGGCATGACGCTAATTAGTGAAATTCCTTTCCTTCACCATCGTCCCTGCACCCAGGAAGGAGAAAGTGACAACTGTAGGAACCAAACTCTAAAGTGGAGGGACCAACCATGCCAAAAAGCCCAGGCATGTTTCCTTTTCCCATATTGTCAACAAACAAACGTCGAGTCAGTGCTGACTCATAGCAAGCGCCTGTGGGTTTCAGAGACTGTAACCGTTTATGGAAGTAGAAAGCCCAGTCTTTCATCCATGAAGCTACGGGTGGTTTCAATCTGCCAACCATGCGGATCGCAGCCCCATGCATAACCACTATGCCACTGGGGCTCCTGCATGGTCCATGTGCTTCAGGTTTATTACTGTGAGTCACCAAGTCAATGCTGACTCATAGCAAGCCTACATGCTGCAGCAGCACTGCCCCAGGCTGCCAATCATCAGGCCTTTTCTCTCCTGAGCTGCCAAGGGGCTTGTGCCATTAACCTTCTCTGGTTCACTGCCCAGGGCTTCACCCTGTGGCTCCCGTATACCGACGTAATGCACTGGCATGTTTGCAAACGTCAGCTCTCTGGTGGTGTAAGATTGAAAAAGGTAACTTCCAGTAACTGCATTCTCATTCTATCAAGTGTCTCTCTACGTGTCTTTGAGTTATTCCCTTACCACAAAGTCCCAGAAACAAATACCGGCACCTGGGACCCAGGGTCAGTCACACTGCTCGTTGGGAACGCTGTGAGGGACTCATAGACCCACCAGCATCCAATTCTCTGCAGCCGCACCAGCAGTAATTACAGGTGCCCTTCCGGAAGAACTAAGGCTCTCTCTAGGCCTCCTTATGAATAAAGAGATGGACCACATCCAGTTTTAAGAAAAGCGAAATAACTCGTACTCATCCAATAGGAACTTAGACGTGCAGCAGCGAGCCAAAGCCTGGCCCAGCAGAGCCGGCAGGCAAGCAAATGAAGGGAAGTTGACGGACAACACAACAACAAGCAGAAAGTCTGAGCATGTCCCACCAACAAGCCCGTGCACAAGGGCTTTTCCTCGGCACTTGCTTCTGATCCCAACACGGAGCTCCAGCCTCAGGGATGATTATTGGCGCTATCTGAAACCTATCTTTCCTGACTTCTCTCTGCTAACTGTCGTCTCCATGATAAAACGCACCACTCTATGGCGACATGACTTCGCAGCTATGCAAGGGTGACCTTTTCAAAGCCCGCGGCAAACACCTGGTCGTTCCCACTGGGGACGCAGGCACCCAGAGAGGAAGCACTCAAGCTGGAAAGATTCCAGGCCCGGCCTCAGGTCCTCCCTCCGCCCCAGGTCCTCCCCCCACCCCAGGTCCTCCCCCCACCCCAGATCCGCCCTCTAGAAGTTTTCCCAGAAGTTTGGGCACCACAGGTTTCAACTTACGTATTGCTGAATTTCAGAGGTAGTTGCTTCTGGGTTTTTTCCTCATAACGTTTGGCTAAGAGGCTCAAGAATTCCGTTTTGAAGACGGATTCAAGCAGGCTGTCGTACTCCTGCTCATGGAGAATGAAGATGTCGTCTTGCATAGTGCTGCGGGGAGAAGGGGCAGCCTCGGTGAGCTGTTGATGCCATCGTTTTCCACTAATTTTTTAATCTTACAGGACAAGACGCGTTGCACGGTCTTTCTTTTTGGGATGAGTAAAAGGAAACAGGACAACCAAACCAAACACCATCACTGTCCAGCCGATTCCTCCCCACAGAGCAGAGCAGCGTGGCCAAATGCTCTGGCCAAAGGTCCAGACACCCACAAAGACCCCACGGCCAGTAAGTCCATTCCAACGCAGTGTCCCTAAAGATACAGAAGCATAACCAATGGAATGCTACGTGACCTTTAAAACAAAAATGTAAGGACCATTTAGTCTGTGTTAAAAAAATATCAATTTTCACATTCAATCCTATGACAGAAATTATGAACTCAAAACCCAGAACATCTTAAACAGAATGTGGCTGAAAAGAACCAATTTAAGAGTGAAGTGTCCAGTTAATAGAATGTATGTTATGTTGTAGTTCCTGTGATAAACCCTAACTTGAAGATTTGTAAGCTTGGTTACCCAAGGGAAGCCAGGAAGCCTAAGTCATTTCATAAGAGTCTACTGCCATATTGTGTTCTGCTTATATGTCGTGCCAGGTAACTACTAGATCGTACAAATGCAGCTATAGACATAGACAGTGACGCTCAGGGCTCAAACTCCCTGCCATCATCGTGACCTTACAGAACAGCGTAGAAATGCCCCTGTGGGTTTCTGAGACTAAATTTTTATGAGAGCAGAAAGCAGTGGAGTGGCTGGTGGCTTCGAACTGCTGACCTTGTGGTTAGCAGTGCCACTTGTAGTCCACTGTGCCAACAAGGCCCCATGATATACAGCAAGGCTGCACAAAACAAGCAAGCCCCCATCACTACCTTCGAGTTAACCGGTCGCATAGGGCAAGGACAGAAGACGTGAGACAGGGCTGGCCCACTGTGTGCAGCTGGAGGGAAGACGGGAGCGAGAGGCTGAGGCCAAGCCAGTCCTCGGGCAATGCTTAGGGCAGGCTGCAACACACGGAGAACTGAGAGCCGTGCTCCCTGCCTCGGTTGGACACGGCTGCCATCTCAAAGGCTTCAGGTTATACATGTTATCATGTTATATACATCACCTCCAAATACTATTGTCCAATGAGCAAGCCAGGTTGTGAGAGGATGGTATATACGTAAAATCATTTTATTGGGGGCTCTTACAGATCTTATTATTAGGGGCTTACTAGGTATTAAAATGGCATTAAAAAATCAATGAGCGAATTTGCCATCATGGAATTGCACAGGGTCACATTTTAATCGCACGAGGCATAGGAAAAGTGACAGAGATGTTCTTTCTGTAACCAGAGCTGAAGCTGCACCTCACAAAAGCAGTGCTCTCCTTCCGGGACGCCTGGCACCACCGTGCCAGCAGGAGCACTGTGGTTGTGACAAGGCCAGAATGGCCATGGGGCTGATGCCCGAGGACCACTGGGCTTTAGAGGGAATCTTTGATATCAGAGATTCCTCTTCCGTGTATTATGTGTTACATTTAAACAGCAGCCCCTGTGGTCTCTCAGTTCAGTCCCATGAATATGACAAGGTCAAGACCAGAGGAAGCATTTCTCTCTGCTGGTTCCGTAGGGCCTCGGTGCGGCCGAGACCAGGAGTTAATGACCTGCAGCTGATCCAGCAAGCAGCCTCTCTGGAGCCCCGGCATTTCTGTCTTCCTGCAGGAAGGAGCCCTGGGAAGCCACGTGAGAAAGGTCTAATGTAGAACCAAAGCACAAGTAAAAGGGAAGATCCTGGTGCCAGGGGAGGGGAGCTGGCCTTTCACAGACGGCTTACACAACAATACCCCTATGCAGTCAGAATGCTGTGTGGACATTTTGGAAGGAATACTAGCCATGTAAAAGCTCCCCGGTGGTTTAAGTGTTGGGCTACTAACTGCAAAGCTGCCAGTTCAAACCTGCTTCATGGGATAAAGCTGAGGTTTTCTGCTTCTGTATATATAAGCTCACTGATAGTGGGGGGGAGGAAGCATTAAAGAACTAGAGGAAAGTATGTCTCATGGTGCTATACTGCACCCTGACTAGCTCGTCTCCTTGTGGCCCTTCTGTAAGGGGATGTCCAATTGTCTACAGATGGGCTTTGGGTCTCCACTCTGTGCCCCTCCTCATTCACATTGATATTTTTTTGTTCTGGGTCTTTGATGCCTGATACCTGATCCCATTAACACCTCATGATCACACAGGCTCATGTGCTCCTTCCATGTGGGCTTCCTCTCCCCCACTATCATGACCTCAATTCTTTTTGTAGGGGGGGAGGGGAGGCCTCACACAGCTATTTCTAAAAAATTTATCTTGCCGCCCTTTTATTTTTTTATTTTAATTTTTATTTATCTTGTAGCTCTTATAACAATCCATACATCAATTATATCACACATATTTGTACATATGTTGCCATCATTTCCAAAACATTTTCTTTCTACTTGACCCCTCAACAGTCCTCTTTCTTTTTTAAAATTAAATACTGTTATTGGGGGCTCTTACATCTCTTATCACAATCCATACATTCATCCATTGTCACACAGCTATTATCACAATCCATCCATCCATCCATCCATACATTGTGTCAAGTACACTTGTTGCCATCATCATTTTTAAAACATTTTCTTTCTACTTGAGTCCTTGGTATCAGCTCCCCCCCCCCTTCCTCCCTCTCAAACCTTTGGTAATTTATAAATTATTATTATTTTTTCATGTCTTACACTGACCGATGTCTCCCTTCATCCACTTTTCTGTTGTCCATCCCCCAGAGAGGGAGTTATATGTAGATCACTGCGATCTCAGTTCCCCCTTTCTCCCCCAACCTTACCCTGGAGGGACCTCAATTCTACCTTACAAATCTGACTAGATCTGCTACTAGATCTGACTTATCTGCTACAGGTAAGTGTCTGCAACACAGGGAATCCAGGACAGATAAACCCCTTAGGGCCAACAATGAGAATAGAGATACCAGGAGGGTAGAGGGGGGTAGGAAGGGAGAATCTATCACAATGATTGATATATAAACCCCCACCCCCAGGGGGACGAACAACAGGAAAGTGGGTGAAGGGAGACAGAAGATGATGTAAGATGCAAAAATAATAATAATTTATAATTTATCAAATATTTATGAGGGAGGGGTGTGGGGAGGGAGGGAAAAATGAAGAGCTGATATCAAGGGCTCAGGTAGAAAGGACAGTTTTTGAAAATGACGATGGCAACAAATGTACAAATATGCTTGACACAAGGGATGGATGTGTGGATTGTGATAAGAGTGGTAAGAGCCCCCAATGAGATGATTTAATAAGAACAACAACAGGGTCACCGAGTCAGGGCTGACTTAATGGCGGTGGGTTCTTTATGGGTGCAGAGCATTGGTCATTCCACTGCCTGCCTGTCAATCTGCTGTCTCGCTGGGAAATTCGAAGCTATGCCGCCAGGTTTTCAAATACCAGCAGGATTACCCCCGGTGGACAGGTCTCAGCAGCGCTTCCAAGCTAAGACGGATGACAAAGAAAGACTTACTCTTTGAAAAGCCGGCCAATGAAAACTCGATGAGTAATAGCAGAATATTGTCTGATCTCATGCCGGAAGACCAGCCCATTGGAAGGCATGGGAGAGGTCACTGAGGAAGAGCTGTCTCCTTAAAGTAAGGTCAACCTTAATGGTGCGGATGGAGTACAATGTTCAGACCTTCATTTGCTGACAGGCCAGGACCCAAAATGCTAAGAAACAGCTGAAAACATTCACTAATAATCAGAACGCACCAAGTATGAATCTAGAAAAATTGTAAGTTGTCAAAAATGAAATGGAACGCCTGAAGATTGATACTGTAGGTTGACAGTGAGCTGAAAGGGACTGGTATTGGCCATCGTGAACCAGATAAGTCTACGTTCTAGTTCAACTGTGCCAGGAGTAGCACACGGGAGAGAAATGGCATCACATTCATTGTCAAGAACATGTCACATGTATCCTGAAGCGCAATAAAATCATTGAGGAAAAAAAAAAAAGATGGGCGATTTCCCTGACCTAACTCATTGGGTCTTGGAACCTACCCGGGGGCTCAAGATACCCCTGTCCCTCCTTCTGCTCTCCCTTCCCTCCTGGGAGTTCTTTCCCTGCCTCAATAAAATCTTTCTCAACTTCAAAAAAAAAAAGAGATGATGTCAATGATGATTTTTCTTTGTGTGTGTTTTTATTTTTACCAACTTCTGCAGTCTGAAATTGGTCAAGTATGCATGAAGATGCGTCATTAAGAATTACTGGAATGTGAATCCTGCAAACAAAGGTAAAGGACTGCGGTTTGGAAAATATGGCCTTGGTGATAGAAACCACTCCAGAGATCTCACGATACAACTTGGCAAGACCAGTAACCCATTCTCAGCCACCAGCGTTTTCAAACGGAATGTAAATGGTTACTACACAAGGGGAGCGCATCAGAGGGACTACACGGAAATCAGATCAACCACGTCTGCAGAGGACTGCTGAAGAACTGTGACATCAGAGATTAGGGCCGGCCATCAATTGTGCATCTTCAAATGTAAGATGAAGCTGAGATGAAAACAAGTCCTTGAGAGTCAAAGCATGCCCTTGAGTGCGTCCCCCCTGAATTCAGAGACATGTGAATAGATGTGATGCGCTGCACACGAATGACCAAAGACCAGGAGAGTTGTGCGATGGCATCCAGACATTATAGATGAAGAAAAAAGATTACCAAGGCAGCTCTCACATGAATCACACCGTTTTAAAGGAAGGAAAGAAAGAAAACAACAAAATGGGTGTCAGAAGAGACTGAATTTTGCTCTTAAATAGAGAGTAAAGGACCTGGAAGAAACGATGAAGTAAAAGAAGAGAAAACTTCAAAGGATGGCTCAAGAATACAAAATAAAGCATTAAAATGAAATGTGCAAAGACCTAGAATGTCCCTCAAATTCCAACTTAGGTAAAACTTCCTCCAGACAGCTCTCCTAGGTAATTCAAAAGAAAGAAAGAGCAGAGCCCCCAAGCAGGGTGTACGAAAACTGGTGCCTTAGGATAAAGAAGGAGTAAAACCGTAAGCACCCACTTTCGGTGTGTGTGGCGAGACGCCCCGAATCTCCTTTCTGTTTTAGTTACTGGGCCTCACACCCTCTTTGACATGTCTGGATGTGTCCAGCTGGTCAGTGATTAATCAACAGAAAAAATGAACCCAACCCAAGTCATCCTGAGTAGATTAATGTGCTTAGACTCATTATGAGTTTCATGACCCTACAGAAAGCATGCAAACAGGCCCAGAATGTCAAGGTCAATTATCATCATGCGCCCCAAAACGAGACGAGAAGTGTTTGGACAGTGTTGACTTCAACCATCAAATTCTAAATCCCCTCCCTCAGTGACCCAGGCCTAAGAGTTAGCGCACCGTCTTCCCCCAGGACAAAGTCTCTCTCCGCTTATTCCCCATTCGTAGGCCTGAAAACAAAGCTTTTGACATTTGTTTATTCTAAGAAAAAAAAATCAGACTTATCTTTGGACTTCACCCCGTCTTAATCATATGCTCGAGCTGCAATTTCTTACAGATGTCTGATGCTGAATCGTGTGCAGAGAGCCCGTGCTGGTCCTGGTTTGGCTCAGAGGTTGCTTTTTCCTCCCCCATCTTTGTGGTTCACGGCTGTATTGCTGACAGCACTAGAAAATCTTGTTTTACTCCCTTAACCACTCTCTTCTTCCCCAAAACGTTTGTTTTCAAAACCCTGAGCAAAGTCCTAAAGGGGCTCTTTTTTGCATAAGTAGAATGTTTAACAATATCAATTACAGTTCAACGCGATCTTTTTCAGTCTATCTGTAAAAGGTGAAGATTTCTGAAAATGCGATGTCTACTGGAGGATTAAGAAAAACCACTTTATTATGGAAAATTTCAATCGCATGAAAGAGTAGAGAGAACAGTAAAATGAACAGCAAAATGTCGGGAGGTTGCAGTGATTATTAATCCGCAGACAATCATAGTGATCGACACCTCCATTCCCTACTTCCCCATCGGTTATTTTAAAGCAAAGCATTCATTCACTCTCAAACAACAGCGACAGATTCATTGCATCCAGTCAAGTCTGACTCACAGCAACCTCAGAGAACAGGATGGAACTACCGCCTGTGTGTTTCATGAGCATCAAGCAAGCACGCAAACAGATCAGAAAGTTCAAGGCCAAGGATCAGAATGTGTCTGGAACTGCGAGATGTATTAGGACACTTTGACTCCAGCCATCCAATCTGAATCCCCTCCCTCAGTGACAAACAGTAGAAAACCTTTCTTCCCAGGAGTTGCTAAAACCCCAAACCAAACTCACTGCCACTGAGTTGATTCCGACTCAAAGTGACCCTACAGGACAGGGTGAGTTTCCGAGACTGGAACTCTTTACAGGAGGAGAACGCCTCCTCTTTCTCCCATGGAGCGGCTGGTGGTTTCGAATTGCTGACCTGCCATTACCAGCCCAACTGTAACTCACTGAGCTACCAGGGATCCTTGAATAAACCATTAGGTGCCACAATTTCAGCTCACAGTAAGTAAGTAAATCTCAACACATTTGCAAGCACATGTTCCCACTGTTTTATGACAGAGAACTGTTACAATGTTTCTTTCTACCATTTTGTTACAATAGCCACTCAGATGCAGGCCCCGTGGTTTTGCACCACACTCTTCTGCTCTGGGTGTGAGTCTGTACAAGTCCTTGTCGCGCCTCTTCCTTCCTAATGCACGGGCTCACTACTGGCCTCCTCCAATGTACTCAGGACAGAATGGCAGCGCCGGAGTCTTGGTAAGTGTGAGTCCCGAGCAATGGCAACATGTAGCAAAGCGCAAGTTCAAAGGCTGTGGACCCTTTCCCCTTCCCTCTGCTCTTTTGGACAGAGCAACGTTTAAGCTAAGCACCTCATGGGACCCCACCCCCCCGCCCCCCTCTTAAAAGGAACGACCACTAGGAAGCAGCGCTCCAGCTCATCAATTCTAAGGAGAGAGAAGCCCACGAAGCTGGCTTCCCCCGGGACTGGGTAGCCCCCGAGGCTGAGAGAAGGGATTTGAGCGTGAACTACTCAGGGTTGGTTTTTCTTGTAAACTTCTTATGGTGATTGAATGAAAGTTTCTCCCGCAGGTTGGTTTTGTCATGCAACAATAACGACTCACGGATTCGATCCACCATATCCTAAGGATCAAAGTGTCAGCGCAAAGGAAGAGATCGCATGATGATTAATGAGCCTCACGAGCCTCAGCTTAAGAACAGCATGCCTTGGGTGGCTGGGAGACTGAAGACAGATACCAAGCAAAACCCAGACCCAACTCACTGCCATCAAGTTGACTCAGACTGACAGCACCCCCAGAGGGCACACTAGAACTGCCCGTGTGGGTTTCTCAGCTTGTTGATCTTTACAGGAGAAGCATATATGCCTCAGCTTTCTCTAGAGGAGCAGCTTTGATTTCAAACCGCTGACCTTGCCGTTAGCAGCCCAACGCTTTGTCCACTATACCATCAGGTCTCCCGGACGACAGACGGGGCACTAATAAGAGCCAGGAGAAGAGAAAATGCCCACATGGGCCCCAGAGCTATGACTCTCTGGCTGGCTGCCACAGCTTTACTATCAAGTGCACAGAGCACATTTCAACCCAGCCAGCTTAGCCTAGGTAGATTACACTGGCTGCCATGCATGGGCAAAGAAAAAGAAAGTATTTCCTGTAGGGGTTCCCTAAAATGACAGGATCCCCAGGGCCCAGCCACCCCAGGAAGATCCTGGCCAGCAGACTGCCCTGCTCAAGTTATGGCGTGGGCCCATGGGCCCAATGCTGAGAGACCTTCTGAAAAGCAGACAGCACCTAAGAGTATCTCCTGGAGTTCCGTGCCACTGAGACCTATCAGATAAATGGAGCCTGTCACTGCACCCTGGGCAGGCCTGTGTTAAACACCCCCCCCACACACACACACACATACATAGCACCAGCACAAGGAGTGAATGCAAGCAGAAACCACACTGATTCAAGGCGAGGATGGACACAAGTGGACGTCTGCTTCGCAGATCACTGGCGGCGGGAGATCCAGCCTGGCAGGTCAGACACCTGCACACAACACCCCAGCTTTCCCCCAAGCCCAGCAGTTTCATGATCAGAGTGCAGTAAGAGTTCAGAGAGGCGTCTCAACTCTACGGAATGTTTGCAACACCTAATTTTTAACTCGCTGGCAGCCCATTGTTTCCCCTGGCACAGCAAGGAATAGCCTCACCAGGAGCCAGGGGCGAACTCAGGCAAAAAGCAACGGGGCCTCTCTTCCTCTTTTCTTCATCTGGGGACGGAGGGACCTTTCCTCTCAGAGGGAACTGAAGTCTGAGAGTTCTTAACACGTGAGGATGGAGAGAAGTCTCCTTACCCATGGAAGACTTATGCCAAAAGAGGGCCAAGTGTAATCGACAGGAAGCGCCAAGGCACCTGCCTGGGCAATGACTCCCGGACTACAGGTCAGGAAGATCAATCTGCATTTCTTCCCCTGTATGAAGAGGCAGAAAGACTCCTACGGAGTCTCCAAGAAACGTCCGTTCTGGGATAATCTGAGGCCACTCGCTGCAAACTGAAGTGGACAGCCCCAGTGGCCACCACTGCATAAGGAACCTGGCTCTAGAAGTTTTCGACCTGGTACGATGGGATGGGGCACAGGGCTCAGGAAGACGGATTCTAATCCAGCGTGCTCTGCATGCAAGGATTCATTCCAAAATTTAGAGCCACAAAGGATCTGAGCGCCCCTTCAGCAGAAGAGCTGACCTGAAGGCATTTTTAATTTCTTCTTCCTGGTTGTCTTATTCCTGTCATATGCGGACTCTCTGAGACTTACGAAGTTCAAGTTTTCTTGGGGAGGAAGCATCCGACCCCCCGAGGAGCCCAGCAGGTCTTTCTGCTGCAGTGTGGAGGAGAGATGCAGCAGCCCTGTCCCAAACCCCTCGCCACTCACCTGAGGGACACGGACAAGACCCTTTCCATCTCGATCCTCCGCTTCAGCACTTCTTTCACCAGGCCTTTGTCTGGGCCCTGCTTCACCTTTTCCCGTCCGATTAAGTACAGGCACTTGGGGGTCAGAAGCAAGTCTCGCTTTACACCCTGGAACGAGAGATGCTTCAGAAGGTGCATAGGTGTCTACATGGAGTGACAGCTGTCCACACCCTGGATGCCTGTCACCAGGCCAGAGGGAAGCTGTCTACTGCTGAAATGACCACTGGATTTACCATCATCTAACCCAAGTCTGTGGGACATGATGGAGGCAGTGTTATCATTCATTGTTAACATATATAACATTGCTGATATTTGACTCTTTCTTGGCTTAAAAAATATTGGATCATACATGGTCCTACCCGAGGTATTAGGGCAACAGGTGGGCATGGGACTGTCCCAACCATCCCAACACATGATGACCCTCCCACTTATCTGCTAGAGCATGTTTCTCAAATGGGGAGCCCTCAAGTGTCATGTCTTTCCTCGGGAGCTCATAAACTTTTCTTTCCTTAGAGTGGATGTTTTTTCATTTCTACGGTAGTCCTTAAAAATACAACATAAACATCCTTTGGAACATCTGAGAGAATAAACTACCTTTATGACCGAGTCCTGCTGACCGAAGCAGCTTGCTTTTGCATGCAAAGCCTGTTCCATCTTCAAGTGGAAAGGAATGATTTGGCTTTAGCAAAACAACATCTGCCTTCTTGTTAAATTCATGCTGCTACTTATCTTATTAATTTTGCTCACCCAAAACATTGCTCATCTTGAGTCTAAACTATGGGAGCTTCAGGTTTCACTTTTAATTAAGACCACTATCCTATCAGGTAAAAATAGCATCTCAGGGAAGAGATGAGAAATCATTTCTTTACCCAGTGGCTAATTAATAATGCTTCCCTTCGTCATTCACTCAGGGAAAAGGTTAGAACACCTTTTCAATACTGCTCAATGATTATAAAGATATTCTGAATCCTTTGACCCAGAAACTGACATCTACCAAGATATTAAAAAAATATTAGGAGATAAAAGCAAGTAAGTGTATGAAAGGACACAGTACAGTTATTATAGTGGAAAAGCAAAACACTAAGAATTCATCAATGAGAAATTAGTTAAAAATGGAGTAATTAATGTATCTTTTCATCGGAATACTACGCAGCAATGTAAAATAGATCTATTAGTATAGAAAGCCTTGTCTTTGTTACATTAAGAGAAAAAAAACAAACAAACCCAAGATACAAAACAGTATGAAATGTAGACCCGCAAATGTATTCCTGCATGAAAATGGTCTGAAAGATGCATGCACAACGTTAACAGTGTTAGTCGCTATTTTGCCTTTGGCTTATCTGTTATTCTCTAAAAATGTCCGCAGTGAACATGTTCTGCTTTGATCATAGTAACTTTAAAAGCCACATGAAGAGTTATTATCATTATTATTTACAATAAGGGATCTGCTTGCGGACTCTTGGAGAAGAGCAGTCTGCACGTACCTTGAACCTCCTGTCATACTTGATCACCGTGTCTGCAAAGTCAATCTTCTCCCTCTTGCCCACAAACTGTTGCAGTTCCGGGTGCTCCTCCATCCCAATGTAATCCCCGATGAAGTTCCTATTAATACTGTTTCGCCTTCTCTCCTTCTTGTTCAACAAGAGGTCTGAGGCTACAGGTGCCAAGAGAGTGAACAAAGGAGTAGGATCAGTCCCGGAAGAAAGGAAGAAACTACATGGTGAGGGAGTACACCCAGGAGCTGCACCTGAATGTTAGGGAGTGAACACACTATATTTTATGCCTATTAAACAGGCTGGTGACTTCAACCAGGCTCAGGATTACTCTTGGCATTTGTAAATGCAAGAAACAAAAAGACTACAATACCTTCTTCTCTCATTTGGACATATTTCTTCCTGGCCACGAATTTCCTCCATGATTTCTGAATCACCCGAGCATATCCATCATACTTTCGCTCTCTCATCTCTTCTAGAAGAAAGAGCTGTGAGTGTAGAAAAGACAAAAATGAGTCATTTTACAAGATCTAAATGAAGAGCGAGAGAGAGACTCAGCTTAGTCTAAGGCATATGAGATAGGAGGAGGCTTCAAAGAGTTTGTGGGGGGAAAAAAGATCATGGGATTTTCCCACAAATGTTTGGAAGCTTCTTCTCCGATTCATGACATAACGACTGTGCTATGTTCTTTGTGATCGCTAACTACGCTTTTTTTTCTCTAGATAAAAAACCTAATGGGAAATAACTGGATCTGAGCGTGTTCAGTTGGACCTTAATAATGGTGCCAGTTCCGCTTGCTCTAAGTCTCTGTGACAGTCACGTGAGCCATACACTGTTACTCACTCACTCCCCACCTGGACCCAAAGAGGACATTAGGTAACTAGGTCAAGCGAGTGGCTAGCGGCGGTTGCTTAGTGCTGCACAGGATCTCTTAATAGAATGTTCCAGCTCTTGCGGCAGTAGAGCCTGTGCTGTTCTGGAAAGGGGATGACCTATTTTGGGTTGCAGGAAAGCCTATACGTCTGGCCTCACAGGATTCTTCAAGGAGTCCCTTGAGTGGAGGCTAATCTCCCACAGTGGTTGGGCCTGGACTTAATATGGGATCAGAAAGATGGAGCTTCACTGAGAGGGGCTGGGGCTGTTGAGGGGCCCGCATCAGAGACTGGCAGGTCTTGAAGCTGTCAGGTCATTTTAAGAATAAATACTGATCGCTGCATCTGAAGCAAGCAGGCGCTCGCATAACGATAATGCTAGCGAATGGCTGTCATGTCTTGGTTGTTCATTGCGGATCAGGAAGAATCCCAGAAACTTTATACAGTGAACCCTTGCCACTTTGCGCTTCGACTTCCGCGGCTTCACTCTATCGCGGTTTTTGCGTAACAGCGCATGCTCTGTCATTACTGCCACTGATTGGTTCATACTGTACACGCTTCTGTCTGCATTGCTACGTATCAGAGCTACGTATCAGATGCATTTTTGCTTTTGTACAGTGTACTGTAATTGTTTGCGATTTTTAAGAAATTTTATCTAAGCCCTATGATGGCTCCTAAACGAGCTGCTTCTTCTAAGCCTTCTGACAATAAAAATAAGCGCCAGAGGAAGATGCTCACCATCCAGGAAAAGGTAAAACTTTTGGATATGACAAAGGTGGCAAGAAAATCGTGGAGGTTGCACGCCATTTCGACTTCAATGAGTCTTCCGTTCGCTCCATCCATAAAGAGGAAAAAAACATCCGTGCTACGGCTACTTTCACTTTCAACAAGGAAGCAAAGCGCATCGTGACAAGTCATAATAAGTTCATAGTAAAAACGGAGTCTGTCTTAGCCGTTTGGATCAATGACGGGCACAAGAAAAACATTCCGTTGGCTATTGATTACAGTATTTGTAAGAACTATGTATAATAATACTGTATGTGAAATATGTAATACTGTAAACTAGATGCCATAAATAATATAATAAATGATAATTGTAACTTCCAAAATGTTTTACTGTATTTTCCCTTTTTCATTTAATAAATTGGGTAATACGAGTGTAATGGTGACTAAAGGGTGTTTTTTCATGTCCTCTATGCTCTAACTACGAAAATATTTGATTTACAAATAAGGAATCCTACTTCGCGGAATTTCATTTATCACGGTAGGGTCTAGAACCGATTAACTGCAATAAACGAGGGTTCACTGTATACATTATTTCATTTGAAATCCCCTGGAGTGAATATACTTTTCTTTTCAAAATGCATCCTGTTGTCCTTGAGAACACACACAGCGGCTCTACAACTGAGCTGTTTTTACAAGGACCGGTCAGTGCTGATGACTGCACATGGGCAACTCTTGGCACCTTCCTTTTCGGACCCGTGCCACCGTCCTTCACATCACCCCCTTGCCCACACCCACACGGGTTCGTTCATTATTGCAAATGGTTGTTGGCCACTTGTTCCCAGGTGGATTTATCTTAATGGAGCACAAAACTTAAGGTACACAGTTTGTACCAGCTAAACCTAACTAAAGTAAATCAACTTTTTACTGTGAACGAGGTGGGTGCTTCCACATCAGGCCATTCATTTGCATTCCTCAGCTTTCACCACCGATGAGCCTCCCAGAGGCTGCCTTGTCCTTCCGACAGCTCTCATCCCGTTTCGCTTATCTCCCTCTTGCAGGATATTATCTTCCCCTTCACCCAAGTTCACAGCTGTCTATCCTTGAGCCGATGGCTCTTCCTCCTCCATTCCCTCTCATCCTTGGAAACCATCACAATCTTTTTCATTTGGTATGAAACCCTTTGTCTTGATTGAAATACCATACTACGGGTGGTCTCCGACAAGAATTGCCCTTTGGTGTTTGACCAAGGTCCCTCCGTCTGATGTTCTCCGTACCCATCCAGGTCAGGAGGCACTTCAGACACACCATTACTCTTTAACAGTGTGGAGTGCTGCATTGCATGTCTGGGTCCAAAGTTACCCATTCTTCCACTGATGCACATTTGGGTTGTCTTCATCTTCTTGCTATTGTGAATAGCGCCGCGATGCACACGGGTGCATGTGCGTGATGCGTGCAAGTGCGTGATGCACATGAGTGCATGTGCGTGATGCACATGGGTTCACGCTATGGCTCTTATGTCTTGAGGGTACATACCAGGCAAAGTGGTTGCTGGGTTACAGGGTATTTCTAATCCCAGTTGCTTGAGGAAGCGCCACCCTGCTTTCCAGTCCCACCAGCCATGCACCCCACCCATCTTTCCACACCCCCTCCAACATTTGTTCTTCTCTGCTTTTTTTGAACTTTGCGATCAATTCTGAGGTGAGCTGGTATCTTATTGCTCTTTTGATTTACATTGTCTTGGGGGGTGGGGGTGGCTGGTGGCCATGAGCATTTCTTCTTGTTTCTTGGCTGCCCGAAGGTATCTTCTTTGGTAAACTGTATGTTCATGTCCAATGTCCATTTTTAAATTGGAAGATTCATCTTTTGCTTGTGGAAGAGTGGAAGTTTTCTGTAGATTTTAAAGATCAGTCCCTCATCCAATATGCCTTCAACAGTTTTCCCCCAGCCTGTGAATTCTCTTGGTAAAATCTTGTGATTCACATGTGTCTTCTATGTAGGAGGTTCTAATCATCTAGAGGGTCTTCTGCTTTGTGTGTGCTTTTTGTCATATTTGACAGTGTATATATGTCCTGTATTGACCCCTAAGTTTGTCTTTCTTTTTGTATTGATGGTCTATTTAGTTGTAGAGGTTCCAAGTAGGTCTTTAATCCATCTGGAGTTCATTTTCGTATATGGAATGAGGTACAGTCCCTGAGTCAGTCTTCTATAAGCGGAAATGTAGTTTCTCCAACATAATTTCTGTTGAGGAAATTATCTCTTCCCCATTTAATATATTTTGGCCCTTTACCAAAAATCAGTTGTCTGTAGG